CTGGTTAGCTCATTCTCTCTGTGTTTTTCCCCTTTCCCTGAACCGTGAGGAAGCTGGATCCCACCACCCTTCACAGAGTGGAAAGGACTGGACGAGTAGTAAAGAGGCAGCAGAGAGGGAGGTTCTGCAAGTATACCTTTGTGAGGGCGGAGTTCCACTGCAGTTACTCGGGCTACGGCAGACAGAGTCCGCCTGACGGGGCTCCTACCCCTGCTCCTCCTCATCCTGTGGTTTTCTCATGTCGCCATTGTAGGGTCAGCCCTGAGGGCACCCCCAGCTACACCTCCTTGTTTGAGGCAGATGTGTGAGTTGCAGCTGAAAGACCAAATCCTTGGGGAGAGCCCAACCGTTGACAAGCGGGTCACTGACTGGCCACAAACAGGGTGAGAAGTACACCAGCTGCTCCTGGAGCACCAGTGACTACACTCTGGGTGGAGGTGGAGAGACTGGTCCAACCTCAGGACTCCTGGGCGGCCCATTTCCTTGGAAGGTCTGAGCACTGTCAGTTCCATTGCAACGACAGCACCCCTGCCCCCAACTTTTCTAGGTGGTCTTCCAGGTGGAATGTTAGGGTTTGATGAAATCACTTCGTCGGTTGCAAAAAGAGCCAGGTGTAGTGGTCCGACCTTCAGCTGAGCCGTGTGCACCCTAGAGCCAGAGAGGAGGAAAATCCCCTGAGAAGAGAAGGCAGAGTTGATCTAAGATGTAACCAACAGGGCTGCAGCCGTCTGTGCCCCTTGTTCAGAGGTCTCCTCCGCACCGGCTCACTCACGTGTCGCCAGTGTCGCTGCGCTGGAAGTCGGGGGGTGCCTCACCCCATGTGGGGGGGAGGGAGGGCCTGCTCCACAGCAGCTTCATCATCCCTCTTAGCATTTGCTTTCAGTTACAAACGTCTTAGGAGACTAGGCAGTGTTTTTTGTTTTCAGACATTACTTTGGTGTAGAAAATTGGGCAGCATAGCTGACCAACCAACAGAAACAAATGATAAAAGTAAAAGCCCTGTGACCTCACGGCTCAGAGGCGAGTCTGGTTAATGCACCTGTGTGCAGGGCCTTCTGGGCTGTGTCCCTCTCGCCCTCTGCATCGCCTCCCCCCCCCCCCGCCCCCGCCCCCAACACATGCGCACACACTGGTGGGGCGGTGCGTAGCGAGGGGGATGGGCCCAGGCTCTGCCGCTGGCTGTCTGGGTTCCACCCTTGGCTCTGCTACGTCCTGAAGATCCCCCTGTAAAATAGGTGTAGTGGTAGCAACCTCATGGGTTTGTTATGAGGATTACATGAGTTAGCCTAGGTAAACCGCTTCATACCTGTGTGCCGGTGTCAGCTTTTATTTTTATAGAAGCAATTTATATGCAGCATACTGTGTAGTAATCTGAGTTATAAAAATACTTATTAGATGATTATATTTTTCTCCAAATGATTTTTAATGGCTGAAAAGTATTGATTTGATTAGTACCATCATAATAAGTCCCCTAACACTGGGCATTTGTATTTCATTTCCTATAGTTTTTGTTTATGCTTTAAGGAACTTCTCTCTTTGGGTTTTTCTGTTTTCTGGTCTTATCTTTTGGTGAAGCCAGCCCGCCTCTTGCCCTCTGAGCCCTGGGCGGGTTTTGGTCTTCCCCTCGCTCTCCTTGCCTCTCGCCTGTCTAGGCTGATAGGCACCTGGCCGTGTGACCTGTGCTGGGCTTGAAGGCTGCTGCTGGGATGAGCTTCAGCCGTTATCTCCATCTCTTTCACACACACTAGGGGAGGTGGGGGGGTGGTTCCTGCGGCCTTTCATGGTTAGGATGCACTTAATTAACTGATCCATTCCATTGCTTCCTGAGGTGTCAAATAAAAACGCATTTTTCTGATAATCATAATAGACCTGTGTAATGATAAGAATAATAAATTCTGTAGGGCTTCTTTTTCTACAAGTTAAAGTCCTGTTGGCTGGTTGCAAATTAGTTGTTCAAGGTCTGGGAATTATTTTCTTGTACCAGTCACGTGTTAAAACTACCTTTTGGTGGGACAGGAACTCTCTGGTTGGCCCCCGCCCCCGCCTCTATTCCCTCTTGTCTTACACCTGCCCTGCTTTGCTCATTGGTCTAGCCGTCTGACTGCTGTGGTCGTTTCAGCCTGTCTTCCACCTTAAGAGAGACACTGTGGCAGAGGATTGTTAGGAGTATCAGTTAAAATAATGGGCTGGATAGGACTACACACACACGCCACGCACACGTCAGAGTCCTGGTTTTGCTGTTGCACCATAGTTATGTAAGATGTAACCACTGGGGGAAACTGGGCCGAGGGTATACAGGACCTCTTGGTATTATCTTTGCAGCTTCATGTGAATCTAAAATTCTTTCAAAATAAAAATTAAGAAATAAAAAGGACCTCATCCTGTCTGGGGGTCAGGAGCTGGTTGCCTCTTTGAAGGGGTCGGTGTGCCCTCCAGGTGTTTGAGTTTCATTCAGAAGCAGTTCCAGTGACCTGAACGTGTTAATTTTTCACAAAATTCAAACAAGTTCATTGGTGCAAAGTTGTCTGGGATGAATTTGTGGCTCCCAAAGATGTCCAACCCAGTGGTTTGATGTATTCTCCATGGCTTCTCATCATTTTGATGGCAGTCAGATTTATGTTAAAAAATCTTGTTTTGTATCTGTTAAGTCTGATTTTTAGAGTCTTAAGATGGTGTTAAAAGACTGATCTAAACCAGAAGAAAAGCAGCCACTTGAAACATTTCAGTACTGGCTGCAGCGTTGAAGAGGAACAAGGGAGTCTGTGTGGTGTGAGCAAATGAGATGAGACCTGGCAGCCCAACGTTGACACCACTCACTCACCGTCACTCTGCCTCAGTGAACCTGCTAATCCGCCTCTTGGAAAATGTTCTGCTGTGAACTGTTGTTAAATTACGCCATATAGAAATGCATATAAATTGCTTTCCTTCCCTACTTTTAAGCTAATATGTGACTTGAATTCACGTGTGGAGATTAGGAGCAGGTTGCGATGAGTGACAGGACTCTGGCTGAGGGAATCCAAGAAAACAAGCTGTATAATTCATACACATCGGGGAATATTTTCCCCCACAAACCTTTTCAGGACTTGTTAGTTGTTGAGCTTCAGACGTTTGCTATTCGTATCAAGACAGAGAAAGCGCAGACACCTGTAGAAACATCCATGACAGGCTATCTAGGAGGAGGGCGATAATTAAGGGACTTCTCTGTGGTGTACTCTCTCTACAGCTTCTGAGATGAATGCAGAGTTCTCAGGCAACACCTCAGTATATGGTAGGGTCTGCAGTTGGTGCTGATGTTCTTTCTGCCAAACTAGAGTACGGAAGCAGAATACAAAGTGCTGTCTTTGTGGGCTGAGGTGTAGTCAGACGCACTGAAAACAGACAGAACCAGTGATGGGCAGTTTCACGTTTTTCCACTGAGTAAATGTGTGACTTATCCATACCGAGGAATGGTATTTCCATCCATAAATCAAGTTAGAAGCTCCTGTGGTGAATTGTTAAACGAGGCAACCCAATCGCAGAAAAATTTATAATATGATCCAGTTTTATAAAGTCAACTCTGTTTGTAAATTCTATTTGAGTGTATGGGGTTTGTAGTGATTAGATGAGCTTGGAGGAAGGCATGAAATGTATATGCCAGATTTTTAACATTGGTTTCTGTGGGGAAGTGATGAGTGGAGCAGTAAACAAGGGAACAAAGACTTCAAACAAAAAAAGGAGTGTAAAAGGTGTTTCATCCATGAATAATCATATTTAGTTGTGTATGTGTGTGTGCCTAGAGAGATGATAGAATAGATATAAAACTGTTACTGGGGTTTATTTCAAGGTGTTGGGTTTTCAGCTGTTTACATTCCTTCTTAAATGTGTTCTGATTGAGTATTTTTGCAGTGAGCAGTTTAATTTTTATAATCATAAAAGAAACCCAATATTACAGCTCTTTTTATTGTGAGGAAATATTCTGGCATGTTTAAAGACACTCGGTTAATACCTTGATGGGGAGGAGCGGAAACAGAAAATGTGGAAGAGGCACCTCTCTCTGGGGTAGCTGGTGAGAAACCAAGTCCAAATCCAAAAAGAGACAGAGAAAAGCTCTCCTGGGCCTTGGGGCAGAGAGACCTGGGTTTATATCTTGGCAGTGTGCCTTACTTATGACCTTGATCTTGGCCATGTGACCTTGGGGACAGACCTTATCCATGCCCCAATTCCTCTCCAGTAAAATGAGGAGAATACTACAGGGTCATTGTGCCTGACACATCATAGGCCCCTAAACATTTTCCACTGAATGAAGAATGGATGAATGAATGCATGCGTGCTTCACTCAGTGAGGTCACATGTGTGAAGTCTGAGCTATGTGGTGAATAGTCAACAAATGGTAGTTTTCTCTCTCTGACCCTCATGTTCTTTTCCTCAGCCAGTGTACCTGGGGAGTGAATTTGGTAGAGTGGGGTCTTGTCATAGCCCTAGTTCATGTTCCATAGTACAGTCTTATGTGGGGATAGATGCGGACTTGGTTAGCTGCTTCTCCTCTTTATGCCTCAGTTTCCTCATCTGTAAAATGGGTGTTGTGATGACACCTTGGAAGGATTAAATGAGCTGATATATAAAGACTTCACATAGCAGGTAATAAAAATATTGAGTGTTCCCTGGGTTGAATACATAGTATATGCCTCTGTAAATGGAGAGAATATCACAGAGTGCCTGACACAGAATAGGCACCTAGCTGATCGATAGGTTCAAATAATCCAAGCACAGCACACGTCAGCATCCTGAGTTTCCAGGCACTGGAACCAATTAATGCTTATTTCCATCATGAGTGAACAGTTCCTGAGGCATTCCGCAAATGTACCCTTGCTAACATAGTCTTTTCCAGTGATCTCTAAGACAGAGAATGTATTAATATTTGAAGATGTGCATTGTGAGTGTTTCTTTACAAAGATTTCTCCCTGCCTTGTGTCTGAATTGCCAATTTTTAATATATGTGTTTAATATTCTTGTGCCCGCAGAGAAAACGAGGTGCTCAAAGTCCAGCTGAAGAAGTATGTAGGCGCTGTCCAGATGCTGAAAAGGGAAGGCCAGCCGGCTGAAGGTGAGGGGAGACTGAGCCTGGGTGGGACAGGGCCAAGCCTTTTCATCTTTATAGCCCCTGTGCCTGGCACATAGTAGACACTCAGTGTGCGATGAGTGCATATGCAGATGGATTAGAAAAACAGTGCTGGTCAGGTTTCTGGAAAATTAATTAGATGGAAAACCCTGTTGTGTATTCTTGCTAAGTACATAACTAATATTGTAAGATTTACTTGCTAGATAGTTAGCAGCAGTCATATCAATTTGTGTGCTTAGGGAATTTTATGTCTAGAGTCTTGAGACACTTGTAAAGTAGTGAACCTTGCAGCATGATTAAGTCCCATCAGGCCAGGCCTAAAAGCAACAGAACGCCCAAGTGGTGGAGAATCAGAGCTCTAGAGTTGAGCTGACCAGGTTCCAACCCCAGCTCTGGTTAAGTTTCTTAATCTCTCTGAACCTCAGTTTTCTCCTCTGTAAAATGGAGTTAGTTGACAGTGCCTACCTCATGAGGCAGTCCGTGTAGACATCTTAGCATAATACCACAGAGTAAGTACTGAGTAAATTTTAGCTATTATTATTAACATTATTAACCAGAAATGCAAGTAGATAGAAAAATGGTCAGATCTCACTAAATGTGGTGTTGCTATATGCTTCCTCTCTCAGCAGTTTGGCTACAGTTCATCGTGAATCTACTAAAATATTTCTCAAGTTCGCCTAAAGAAAGGATATTTAACTTTGGCTGAAGTGTCTTGCAGCCTCAGCCAATGGACTGTTATAAGATTTTCTTAAACAAAATTGAGCTCTTGGAGTGTGGGCATTTTAACCAAAAGGTGGACACTCCGTTCTCACAGGTCTTGGGAGTCAGCCAGACCTGGACTGAATTCAGGCTCACCCACTGTAACTGACCTCTTGGAGTTATTTTCCATCTGTAAGAGGAAACATCATGTGATATCATGAGGTCATTGTGGGGATTTACTGAAACAATGAGTGCCGAGCTTCCAGTATGGCACCTGGCACGTAACTGGTGCTCAGTAAATGGTAGTTACTTTCTGTGTGATAGAGGAGACAGGATGGCTTACATAGTAATATCACAAAGGCTTGAATTTTATTTGAAGCTTTCGTATTTATTATGGTCTCATTTTGATCAAGTTCAACACATCCGTGATTTTTTTTGCTGACATGCCTGGCTTCATTCATGAATGGTCTGCAACTGTTAGCAGTCTGGGGGTTATCGTTGCAGAATTAAGCACGGCTTCCTCTGTGGGCCCATCCCCCTTCTCACACAGATATTGCTATGATGGCCCTGATTCATTTCATTCTGTGGAGTTAGGTATATGTTGGTCTTCTGGCTTTTCACTTCTCATCTTTGCTTCCCCAGCGCCTGCCTTTTGTAGTCATTCATTCCATTCATTACATGTTTTGACTTAATTGTATTTGTCTAGCTCTTAACCCTTTCCAAGCAAGTTCAAGTCTAGTCTCACATGACTCATTAACCCTGTGATGAGTAGGTATATTTCCTCTATTTTAAAAATTTCACTATAGGAGGCTCAGGAGAGCCTAAGGGGTTCATTCATGTATCTGAGGTGGAAAGGAACTCATCTCATTTTCCTCCAAATCCCTAGTTCTTTGCCTTATAAAGTTCTTAAACTTTAGTGTGCAGAGGCATTACCTGGGGAAACTATTAAATGTGCCTCTTGTCAGAGGAGAATAGAGCTCCCCTTCTCAGGAGTTGTTTCAGTGGATCTAGGATGGGGTCTAGATTTGCGTGTCTAGATATGTGACTCTAGTGCTGGTGACCTGTGGACCACACCACCACCTTTTTTTTTTTTTCTCCTGGGGAAGATTCGCCCTGAGCTAATGTCTGTTGCCAATCTTCCTCTTTTTGCTTGAGAAAGATTTGCCCTGAGTTAGCATCTGTGCCAGTCTTCCTCTATTTTTTTTTTTTAATAATTTTATTTATTTATTTATTTTTTCCCCCAAAGCCCCAGTAGATAGTTGTATGTCATAGTTGCATATCCTTCTAGTTGCTGTACGTGGGACGCGGCCTCAGCATGGCTGGAGAAGCGGTACGTCGGTGCGCGCCCGGGATCCAAACCCGGGCTGCCAGCAGCGGAGCACGCGCACTTAACCGCTAAGCCACGGGGCCGGCCCAGTCTTCCTCTATTTTGTATGTGGGTCACCGTCACAGCATGGCTACCAACGAGCGGTGTAGGTCCATGCCTGGGAACCAAACCCGGGCCGCTAAAGTGGAGTGCACTGAAGTTAACCACTAGGCCATGGGGCCGGCCCCCACGCCACCACCTTTTGAGAAATCTACACAGAGCTTTGAATTGGTGCAGTAAGAAAATTAAACCCAGGGGGAAAAAAAGCACCATTGGGCTTGTGTTTGATTTAAAAAACTCAACACTATAAAATACATTTCTGAGTAGGAGCATTTTTGGAGTGATTTCCCCCCAGAATTGGTACGTGGAACCTACAGTGTCCGGAATGGTTTCTCAGAGCAGCTGAAGTTTTCTTTCCTAAGACCTGGCCTGAGTGCTCTGAGCCGAAGCTGGGTATGAGCCTTTTCAGGACACAATTGTGGTGGCCCTTAAATGGATTAGAGCAGAGACCATTAAGCATATTTTGCTCCTCTGTATAGCAGCAGTCCCATACTGCTTGGCTTCTTCCTCTGTAAATTAAGACCAAGTATCTTATCTGTGAGTCGTCCTTCAATGGGAGGTTTTTATGACAGCCCTCAAATGCGGGCGTGTACTGATCGACGGATGCCTTGTTGCTTATGTGAATCCTGCGGTTCACTCCTTCTCTCTTGTCAGAAATACTAGTGAGCGCCAGCCATGCACCAGGTGCCATGAAGCAGCCTCCTTAAAAGGCGCTCTTTCAGAAATTGTCCTCGGGCCTCTCAAGAACTTTTATCTAATTTTCAAGTGAAATTGGGACTCACTCCTCAACCCCAGCTAGCTGCTGGCTCAGTCTGTTGAAAACTATTGTGTATGTGCCCTGGCCAGGCTGGGGTGGCTGGGGAGTCTGGGGAGCTGGAGGAGCAGAGGCAGGGAGAGGTTGGAGAGGCAGAGAGTCCTTTCTCGTCTGTGATTTCCTTGGCCCCTGGTGTTAGAGGGGTGGGCGTAGAGACGCGTACTAGCTTCCCAAATTCTCAGTGGGAATTCAGAATGTGTTTTCCACAATATAAGTCTTTTAGTTTGAAGATATAAAGATTCTTTTTATCTTATGGCAACAAATTGTTTATGAAACAGCTAGCTCATCAGGGAAAAGAGTGAAAAATTATTGAAGCCCCAGATGCCTTCAGGGTTGACTAGATTGCTGAGGACCATATTGGGATCTTCACCTTCACTATTACATCGTTGCTGTGGAAGAGTGCCTCCAGGATAGAAAAAAAACCCACAACTTAAAATGGATCTTTGGAATACATTGTTGACAATCTTTAATTTTACAAATATCAGATTTCAAATTCCTACCCTCTTCTTTTTTTTAAAAGAAAGACGTAGTCCCTTTAAGAAAATCATGATTTAATAACCAGCAAAATATGGAGTAGAATTTTGGGTTGCCTCATTAACTGATTGAAAGAATTTTTTTTCCTAATGAGGTCCAGAAGTGAGCTTGGGTCATTCAGCACTCAAGTGCTGTTTTTCCTTGGTGAGGTCAGAAGAGTTCCCCAAAGCTTATGACCTGATTTTTGTTTGTAAATCTTTCTCATCCTGCAGCATGTTGTCTGTGTTCTCTCCCTGCAGCCTTAGAGCTGTGGCACAAGGACTGTCATGTCCATGAGGAACTGGCTTGGCAATTAAACTTCCATTGTGACTCTTATTGGATATTTGATCAATTCTCTTGTTAAGGAACTTGGACAGCCTTTCTCCTCTCCAGGGAGCTCTGTAGGGCGGTTTCACTTATGGAGGGAGAACACATCACTCATGTTTTCATCCAGACTCATGTTTTCATCTCAGGCTTGTTGTTGAAGTTCGAAACACAATGTGCGGCAAGTTGGCTTCTTGTCTGGAGAGGCCTTCTGGCGGCTCACTGAGGGGCCTGGGAAGCAGATGAACCACTCAGTCTCAGAGACCTGATAGGTTGTGTTGACAAGACTGGCTCTTTCTCTTAGGGGTGAACTCACATTAGCCACACACAGAGTGATATATGATGAGAAGAACAGTTTCTGCATTGGTCCTGAGAAATTTGGGCTGGTGGGTAAACCAGAAGGCCCAAATCTGATGCTCAGGCCCATCATTCCTCTGGGCTGATCAACTTGGGGAGCTGGAGTCTCACCGGCTGACTGCTTATTGAGCCAGAGAAGGAGGAGCTCACTGGGTGGTTCAGATGTTCAATGGCATGATGTGTCCAACACTTGGTGAGAAAAGGTCTCTAGGCATGGAGAAGACCTCGTATGGAGAGATGCTGTCGACTTCTGGCTCTTTGCATGGTCTTTCTCCTTTTTTCAGCCTGTGCTTTGTTAGAGTTCTGAGGAGTGCTAGTTCTGTCAGATGTTAGTTGATGTTGAGAGAGAGAGAGAGCATGCATGCACCGCTCTCACGTGAGCTACTTACATATTTTGTACTTAGACCTCATAACAAGTGGTCAGCAGATAACTTTGTTTCAGTTTAGAGATTATCATTAATCATGGCTCTTCTTTTCCTTCAAGTTCTCTGTAAGAAATAGATGCAAGAATCAGAGAAATAGTGATCAAAATAATGTTTTTATTACTGACAGTTGATTGGAAACTCCAGCTTGACCTGTAGCCAGAGTCACGCTTGACCTGTAGCCAGAGTCACGCTCCCTAATGAACTGCCTCCTGGGTGTAGACCCAGGGACCCCCTCTTGTGAGGGATTGTTGGGTCTGCAGAATTTCTTCTCACCCCATGGGGACCAAGAGGGAAGAGAGTCCATGGGAGTATTTCACTTTTTAATACATTAACTCCACCTGATTGAGAATCTCACCCATCAGGTACAAGGTGGGGAGGGAGGCTGAGAGTATTATTATGGTGGAAGACTACCTGGAAACATGGCGCC